TTACAGACTCACACACTTCATCCCTTACATACACAGAAACACACCTTGCAGCCCTTACACATACAAACACAGATTCACACAATGCATTCCTTACACACAAATCAGGACATCCCCTACACACTCCACCCCCTGTGAACAAACTCATTGGTGGAACATGAAGGTGGACCCTGGGACCCAGACCTTGAGCTGTGTAAAGGGCCCCCAAAAAATGGAGCTGCTTCTCGTTCTCCCAGAACATTGATTTTTGTGACCACAGTTACAAACAGCCTCCAGAGATCCTGTTATACACCAGACCAGTGGAGCCAGACTGCAGCTAGAGCCCATCATCATCCTCATCTGCTTGTAAGTAGGTAATCTAGTATATTATTCGTGGCACTAATCTCTAATTTACCTCACATTAAAGAAACACTATAGTCCCCAGAACCACAGCAGCTTAATGTAGTGGTCCTGGTGTCTATAGCCTGTCCCTGCAGGCCTTTTAATGTAAACACAGCGGCACTGCAGCACTGCAGCACTGCAGCACTAGCGTTAGTTAACATGGCAGGTCATATGGGTGGGGCATTGTGATGTCACGGGGGGGGCGGCAAACTTTACTTTTGCCTAGGGCGGCAAAAATCCTTGCACCAGCCCTGGACCAGGGTCCTGGTGAAGACCCAGATTAGAGGACAAACCATTGCTAAATGGTTTGACCCATTTCTAGGGAGCCGGCTAGCATACTTCTCAGTGTACTGCAGTGATTATGATACATGCATTAACCTTTTAAAGCATGTATTTTCATCTTGTTTTTGAAGTAAAGCAAGTGCGAATGCTAGTGTACATCAGTTTTTTGTTCAACAGTAAACATGTTGAGAGCCAGGTTTTTTATTTTTAAAAAAGAAAGCTTACATTGTTTCTGGTTTGTGGAATCAGGGTGAAATTAGTCTAGAGGAGATAAATGACAACTTGTCACTATGTTCTTTGAGCAGCAGATAGGGAGAAATTAGTGTATTACCTGTCATGTACACATTTGTCAATACACACTGCTCACATGACATGTATTTTTAAAAATCCCACGGATGCTAGTATATATTATTTTGGAAATGAGAAACTCATCTGTCCACAAAGCATCCCTACACACACACACACACACACACACGCGCGCACGCACGCACGTACGCACGCATGCACACACACACATGAACACACTAGCATGCACAGAAACACACAATGCATCCCTACATGCACACACAGAAACACAATGCATCCCATTACACACACACACACACACATCATGTATCCCTTAAACACTTCACTAGTGGGAAATGTCAGGAATTAAAAATGAAATTCAAATTTAAGCCCAAAGTAATCAAAGTGGAAGCATAGCTGACTTGGAGGATTTCTCCTGTTTGGCTGTTTTAGTCCAACATTTGAAATTCACTGTAAATTTTCTTAGAATTTCCAACAACTCTCACTTTAGTTAGTAACTCTATTTGTGAATGAACCCATTTAGGAACTCTTATAATGTTCGATTTAATATTCATGTGGTGTAGCACTACAACAAAAAAAAGTATGTCATGGACATTTTGGTAAGGGTAGAATTTTACTAGTAGTAAAACTGAACACTCCTATTAATCCTTTGAGGGAATTTATTGTAAAATGTAGTGAATAATAAAATATTATGTGGCATTAATACATTATACATTAGTTATATGAAAGCATCTCTGCCAGTCAGTGCATAAAAGGAGAAAGATCAAAAGATCAGACAGAACGTCTTTGTTCAAAGTCTTTTCATTTGGTGAATAAGAAAGACATTGACATCCTTGCAGAATACAGGAGCCTACGATGGTTTTACTTTAAAGTAACATCAATGACTTGGCATGTCATTCTGCTAACCCCACAGTTTCTCTTTACAACACAATAGACATACACCCAAGTCACTAGTTTGGTTTTTGCTGATGTGTCTGTCTATGCTCCCTATTAGGTTGCACTTAGTAAGTATTTCTAAAGTTTGAGTATCCTATTTAACCCCGATTTATCCTATTTTAACCCCACTTTATAAAAGTGCTGATTTCAATGAGAAATCTGCGCCTTTATAAATAAATTATAAATCACCCCCTTGGCTGTCAATCAAACAGTCAGGGAGGTTTGCTGCCTCTTTCCGTTAGATCCCCTGAGCTAAGTCTCAGGCATACTCTACTTGAGGTGTCTCAATGAGACAGTCTCTTCAAGGAAAAAAGGGGAGGGCAGTGGAGTGTCACTTTTATCTTACACTGCTGAGAGCCCCAGGAGGAAGGGATTCCCAAGCAAGTGGTTTAATCTCATAAGAGCAGGCATTAGATAGCTAGGATAGGGCCTGCCAAGGATTGAGTGCATTGACATTGTAGTAGGCTTGTGCAAAATGTGATCATGTACTGGAACTGACCCCCATCTGTGAGATTCAAAGTTGCTGCTTAGAAAATGAGTGAGTGTGATAGATCTAGCATGTTGTATGAATTGGCCCCAGCAGCACCCTTACAATGTATGCATGTTTAGGTGAGTGCAGCAGCTTGGTTTCATATGTATATATATATATATATATATATATATACATATATATACTGTAAGGTGGGTCAAAATTCAGAGTAGGGTTGAGGACTCAATAACTTTTTTTTTATTAATGAACCAATTTATGATATTACATAGCATGAATGCTTAAAACAACACTAAAGGCTCAGGAACAAACACAAACATGTATTCTTGATTGTATAGTGTTCAAACATCCATTTCCCCCCCATGGCACCCCCTCAACCTCCTAAATATAATAAAATCTTACCTTTATTCCAGTCTCCTGCTTCTGGCTCTGAAATAGTAGAGGACAATCTTCGAAGTCTATCTTCTGAATAGTACATTGTTGTAAGTCCCCGCTCAGGCATGAGGATTGGCCAATAATAGGTGAAGTGGAAATCAATTCAATCAATTGATTATTTTTGTGTATCTGCCCCTGTCCAAATTAAGAAACAATGCTGCATGCTCCCTGAAGTAATTCACACCAGACACAGGTTTCAGGTTGATGAATAACTTGAGGAATGTATATTCAGAGGGGACGGCAGGTCCCTTTTAAAGCAAAATTACATCATAAGCATTGTCAGAGATAACATGAAATAATACTTTATTAATTGGTTAGGTGTTAAGTGGTTCCCCTAATGCTCTGCCTACTAAGGGTGATGTTACTGAGACCATGAGGGTCTCCCCCTGATTCCAGCGCCATCTTGTTACACGAGGTAGTTAGTCGGTGTTATAGGGAGGGAGGGGTTAGAAGCTTCTAGTGGCCATTTTGTCTAAATATGTGTTAATAGCTTATGCACTGATTTCGGTTAAATGAGTAAATAGGCATTTTACTAACTAGAAAATATGTCAATATCTCATTTCCACAACAGTCCCCCCTTAAAATGGCTATTTACCATAACAACTGCTACTGTCCCTAACATGTCCACAGCTGCCTGCAGCTCATCTGTCTTAACAAGCATCGAACACTTCACTCCGTGGGTAACCTGCGGCGGCTAGTCCACCACATCTCCGCACGTGAGACTTGCCTGTAGAGACAGACGCTTTCCCTATGCTATCCCTACAGAAATTAAGTTGTCTGTTTAAATTGGTGGGATTGGAGGGGTGGATGTGGTGTGTCACATTCTAGATCAGTGACGTCCTGGTGTAGGAAAGTAGGGGTTACATTGTCTATAGTCTTCCCTACTGTCTTCTGTAAGTACTTTTGTATACAAGGAAGTACACAACAGATTAAGAATAGGAAGATGATAATCATTATGAGAACTGCTGTCCCAACCTGGAATAGAGTTCTCTGCCAACCATTCATCCATCCAAACAATCTGTCCCAGGTGTCAATGACCCCCGAGTTCCTTTTTAATTCATCTGATAGGCTGTCTAATTTCTCTATAGCCATAGTCACCTTACCATTGGGCCCAGTGTTACCTGAAATAAATGTGCAGCATGTCATGGTTTCGGGGAGGATTTTACATACGCCCCCCTTTTCTGCTAAGATCATATCCAGAGCCATTCTATTTTGAAATGTCATTTGGGTGGTAGCTTGCAGCTGTTCTGCTAGGCCCTGTAGGGCATCTCTACTATAGTTAACAAACCGCTGCTGATTATAATAGAAATAATTAATCCAATTGACATTCTTATTAGCTGTAATCATTGGAATCAAAGATTCAAACCCGGCTGCCACTTCATCCCTTGCCTTGAATTCGTTGGGCACCCCCCTTGGCACACCAATGGCATCAATATAAACATGCGGATCAAAGCTACCACGGATTGGGACTTCCCTTTTGGCTCTGGAGTGTGTGTGCGTGGGATCTAACACATTGTGATGACCATCCGGGATAATGTGGATAGGCATTATGGCTTTGGTTAGTGTACATTCTCCCCACCATAGCCCCGTTAGCTGGGATCTCAGTTGCTTATCACCACACAGCCAATATATTCCCCAACTGTTTTTGCATGATTCATTAACAGTGCTGTGGGTGGATTATGATAGGTGGAACAATAACCAGATGGGAATTTGCCCATGAATGTACCTGTGTTCTTAGGTATTGAATAGCAAGTGTAGTTACCTGGGTATACAGTGACTCCATCAGGTGGTCTAACGTGCCCCTGGATGATTGGGTAGACCTTTTTCCATGACTCACACGTTGAGGAGTTAGTGGTGGACTGTGCATAGAAACTCAAGACACATAATTCAACATCAGGAGGTAGGTTTAAAGGTACCGTACCCAGGTGGGGTCTGGCTCCCCCACATACATAACAGTTAGTCTTGTTGTGTGAGTTAGCATTATATCTCATCCATTCCAGCCATAAGTTAGTGTCTGAGAACCCAGTTTCCACTGCCATCGTGTCTTCGAAAGTAGGATTAGCTATAGCAACCATATCATGCAAAGTCTTGATATGTGGTTTAAGTGGGTTGACAGTCATGTGTGTAGTCCCTACCCAGTCAGGTGAGGTAAGCATGTCTTGCAGGTAGAATGTCCCCAACTTGTTGTATGAGCCACCGCCCCTCCAGTACATGCCCATTACATACTCCCCTGCATCCCTTGGACTGGGATGCTCTATGTTCAGAGTGAGTTTGATGGGGGTTGACCCAATAGGTTTACTTAAGGTCATTCTGGAGAGTAGGGGTTTCCCGTCTTTGTCAATTCTGTCTAGGGCACTCTGGGGTTTATAGCCCCATGATCTACCTGTATTCCACCCAGCCGCCTTCCATGAACTACAATGATGTCCCCATGACCCCCCTGTTACGCAGATATATGGGTCCTTCCTTCTGGGTATGTCCTTGTATATAGCAGCATATTGTGTTTGTGGGAAGGTGCAAGTAACAATATCACAGTAATCAAAAGAAAAGGTAGCCACATCTGTGTTTGAGGAATTGTACCAAAAAGTGTAAACATGGTTATCTTTGGTTATAGCCACTTGCCCCTTGCCCCTGTAAAGTTTAGCAGCAAGAGAAAACACAAGGAACACAGAAAACTCATGGCTCAGCAGGGGCAACTTCTTCCGGAGCAGGCACTTTCTTGCAGTGTGAAGCGTGTATCCAGGAACTCTTCCCTGCCAATTTCACTGAGGTAGCTGTAATCAGCAGCACTTGGTAAGGACCATCAAACCTTGGCTCAAGGGTGTGTTTCCTGAGGAATTTCTTGACCATAACCCAGTCACCAGGGAGCAACTTGTGTGTACCTGTATTCGACTCAGGATCTGGAATAAAAGAAAACACTTGGGCATGGATTTTGGTCAAGGCATGAGAGAGAGCAGTCACATAATCTACCATAGCGTCTGACTGAATCTGAAGCTGTTGGGGGAAGTAACAACCTAACCTTGGTGCTGTACCGAACAGGATCTCATAGGGAGATAAGTTGTATTTTACCCTAGGAGTGTACCTCACACTAAATAATGCTAATGGAAGACTCTCAGGCCAGGGCATGTTAGTTTCTTGGGACATCTTAAGAATTCTGGCCTTCAATGTGCCATTCATGCGTTCTACCTTACCACTACTCTGTGGGTGATATGGTGTGTGGAAGGTAAGGGTCACCCCCAGTGCTGCCCAGACTTCCCATGTCAATGAGGCGGTAAAGGAAGTTCCTTGGTCACTTTCAATCACCTCTGGAACACCATACCGGCAAACAATTTCCATCAGAAGATGTTTAGCTGTAGTTCTTGTGGTGAGATTGGCCACTGGGAAGGCTTCTGGCCCTCCTGAGAACATGTCCACAATGACTAATGCGTATTCATAGCGTCCACTCTTTGGCATCTGAATATGGTCAATCTGTATCCTCTGGAAAGGATATTGTGGTTTGGCCAAGTGGTTGGGTGCAGTTTTAAAAAATCATTTAGCACAAATTGCACAAGATCTACAATAGTTCTGTGTTAGAGTAGTAATACCCGGTTGTGGCGAAACCAACCTCGCCACTGTGAACTGGAGAAGCCTGGTTGCTCGCCTGCTCCCTTTGGACTATGGCCCTGCAGGTTAAACCGTTTATTTCCCCTGCAGAAAGGCTTATTTGTGTGATCTGAGTGCCATTCATCTAATAATATGCACTCAGATCCCAGCTATCTGGGGATATGTGAAATGTCTGTGTGTTATGTGTAAAGGTGACTTTATGTATTTTAAAGTGTTTTGTGTCTTTTTGCAACCATGTGCTTAATGTAGTCTTGTGTCTGTCCTGGGAGATAATTGAATTACTCTCCAGGATAGAAGACTCTGAAACTGGTTTGGGCCAGAAAGCCATGCTTCATTTAGTCACAAAGGACTTTCCCTCAACTTTTGAACCCCTGGTCTGATTCGTGCCATTTTTTAATATGTTGTTCCCCTGAATGGATTGATTATGAAAATGTATGTTTTATGTTTGTGGCATGTATATTTTAGAAGTTATAAATATTGTGTAAAAACTGTATTCCTCTGCCGGTGATAATGAGATTACCCATTGTGTTCAGTAATCATATCACCTGCAGAGGGGAGGATTTTGTGTGGAGTGTCTGGGTGTATTGTACGGATTGATTGGTTGTTTTGTAACGCCCTGTGGGCTGTACTATGTTTGTGGATTGGGAATAAAAGAGACTGTATGTGACAGTACAGGGAGATTCTGCTTGACCCTCAAACCGATGTGTCGTCTCGTTTTTGGGGGGAATTGGATTGTATGCTGACTGCCAGGAGTGTAAGCGGATTGTATGCTTTTCCTGTTCGGCTGATTCCAGTGTTCGTGTGTTTCCAGTTCGGGAGTTGGTGAATTCGTACAGTTTGCAGTTCGGGAGTTTGGTGCTTGCAGTAGCTGCTGGTCTATGGGAAAGGGGATTATCGCCTAAACGGTTTTTATCCTCTTGTGAGAGAAACGGTCCATTACACCGGTGCTTCAAAGTATTTATCAATCAGGGAGTTCATCAGGTGTTTAGACAGGTGGGCTGGTCCATGAGCCCATTGGACAACAGCTGGATACATATTCTTGGGTAGACAAAACTTAAGATTAATGGTGTAAACCTCATCTCGGAGAATGGCTCCCCTGCTCTTCCAACTCTCTTTTTCTTGGGGGGTCGCAGCAGCTTGTTGTTCCTTCAGGAGTCTGAGATCTGTAGGTAATGTTTGCATAGTATAAATGGGTGTTGTTTCAGTGGCCACTCTTCTTTCCACTTTCCACCCTTGTTGTGCTGCATCCTTGGCGGCTTGATCAGCCAAGTGGTTGTCTCGTGCTTCTTCCGAATTCAGCCTCCCGTGGGCTTTCACTTTGAGCACTGCCACTTCTGCTGGGAGTATTAGGGCATCCATTAGTTCTTCAATGGCTATGCCATGTTTTACTGGAGTACCGGTGGCTGTGAGAAATCCTCTAGTTTTCCAAATTAGGCCAAAATCATGTGCTACTCCCAGGGCATATCTTGAGTCTGTATAAATGTTGACACGTAGGCTCTCAGATAGTTTACAGGCCACTGTGAGGGCTGTTAGCTCGGCTTCCTGAGCTGATTTGGTTGGTGGAAGTGCGGCTGCTTGTAGTACTTGACATTCTGTGGTAACTGCATATTCAGTGTGATATTGCCCTTGTTCATCAGCAAATCTGGAACCATCTACAAACAGTATCTGGTCTGGATTAGGTAGAGCAGTCTCATGTACAGTTGGTAAATGGGTGGTTTCCATCTTCATCTGTTCAAAGCAATCATGGGGGGCATCTGAATCTTGTTCCATGGGAGGGAGATCTTCACAGATCTCTGTATGGTATCAAGGATATCCAACTGTACTGCAGTTGATGATCTTCTTAGTGCACTCCAGGATTTGGCCATTGGGCCTAGATCTTTCCATGAGAAGTCAGGGGACTTGGTGAAGGATATGTGTGGGACAGCTGTCTCCCAATGAGGGTAAAGGTGGGATACGTCTGTTGGAAGGTGCACTAGCAGGACCATGTTGCCTCTGGAGTCCCATAGCAAGTCTGTCAGTGTGATGTGAATTTCCACAAGTTGAAATAGTTCTTCTTCATAATCCACATCAGGGCCTGGGTTGTCTTTGAACCACAGGGTACAGTGTAACAAGTTCTCTGGTTGCACATCATGAGGAGGTGCTAGAGTAGGTAATTGGAATTCCACCCGGGCATCTGGGTTGATGTCCAGGCTTTACCAGTACTGTGCCACTCCCCCCTTGGGAAGTGGCAGAAGAGTGGCCGGGTTCAGTGAGTAGCAGCGTTGTAAAATAATGTTGTCAGGCAGTAACAAAGAAGTTTGCAACCGCAGATGACGCTGAGAAGAGAAATGCCTTGGCTGGGTCTGTTGGAGAATAGCAGAAATATCATGTGGAGCCAAGACAGTCAGAGAATGTCCAAGGACGAAGTCATTAGTTTTGTCCAAGAGGGTACTAGCAGCAAACACTGCCCTCAGGCAGAAGGGACTGCCTCTGGCAACAGGATCAAGCATGCAAGAGAAGTAGCCAATGGGTCTTTGTCTGGAGCCATGTTGTTGAGTAAGAACTCCGGAGGCGTGGCCCAGTTTCTCAGACACGAACAACTTGAAAGGCAGCTGGTAGTTCGGTAGGCCCAAGGCAGGTGCAGATGCAATGGCTTTCTATAGAGCAGTAAAACAGGCAATGGCATGTGGTGAGAGTGAGAAAGGCTCGCTTTTCAGAGCATCATATAGTGGTTGCATCATTTGAGAAGCTTCAGGAATCCAGGATCTGCAATACGGGATGAGGCCTAAAAAGGCATGGAGAGATTGATGAGCAGAAGGAATTGGTAAATTCAAAATGGCTAAGATCCTGTCCTTGGTAAGGTGACGGGTGCCATGGGAAAGACAATGTCCCAAGAAGACCATTGAGGGCCGGCACCATTGAAGCTTTGATTTAGAGGCCTAGCAGCCTTCTTCAGCTAGGAAGCAAAGGAGATCCTCAAAAACTCTTTAAGCAGTCTGGAAATCAGCAGCACAGAGAAGTAGGTCATCAACATATTGAAGCAGGACTACATCAGTGTGTGTCTTTTGCCAGGGTTCCAGAACCATTGACATGGCGCGGGCAAACAGAGTGGGCGAATTCTGAGCCCCCTGAGGCATGACTGTCCATGTATATTGTTGACCTTCATGGGTAAAAGCAAAGAGGTATTGGCAGGATGAATCCAGGGGCACACTGAAAAATGCATTAGCAAGGTCCACAACAGTAAAGATTGTGGCAGAGGGCAGAACCTGTGACAGTAGTGTATGTGGATTAGAGACCACAGCTGTATCCTTGACAGTGACATTGTTAACTGCACGTAGATCCTGGACCATGCGGTATTGATCAGAATGCCCCTTCTCAGTCTTCTTCTTCAGGAAAAAGGGGTGTTGCATGGCGATACAAACTTGACAAGGGCTCCCTTGGCCAGGAGGCTTTCCACTTGCTTAGAAATGGCGAGGGCCTGACCAGGTTTCAGTGGATACTGGGGTCTTCGGGGAGGCGCTACTCCTGGCAGAAGTGTGACCACAACTGGGGGAACTTTAAGGCGTCCAATATCATCAGGACCTGTGGACCAGAGCTTTGCAGGGATTTTGTCCAGAGCACTGGGGGCATGAGGGACCCTTGATTCCCCCATGGGAGATGCAAGATGCAGTAGTATGGGGAGGCCCTGTGACAACAGCAGGGGCATTAAGCATCATTGGGTTTGCCCTCCTCTGAAGGGGCTGTATCACTGACTCTAACCCCTTGGCCACCAGTAAAAGCGTGTCTAAAGGGATTATTCGGTACTCAGGTCGGGAGAGAATTAAACCCTTACGGATATGTTCCTTTAACCCAGCTACAAAGGCAGCAGACAACATCTGAGTATGAGCTTTATTGTAAGTGCTAAACCCTAGATCAGAGAAAGTTTGAGTTAGACGTGAATGATACTTTTCAACAGATTCAAGTTTGTCTTGAACAATGTCATTAATACAGGTAGCCTGGTCTGCCAGTTTATCTTCTGCCCAAGCACGGAGTTGTTCACAGAATGTAATACCAGACTGGAAATCTGTGTCAGTGGTGAGTGGAGCATCCGTTAAGCTGCGTGCCATAATGGGCCAGTAGGCATCACCTGCTTTGATCTCACATAAACTATAGAGATCCCGCCAGGCAGCGGAGTAGGTTTTATGGATCTGAGCCATCCTACGGTAGAAGGGCATGGGTTGTTTCTCAGGATCAGGGAGAGAGGTGACAAGAGTGGCAGCTTGTGAAGGGTTGAACGTAACATACATAGGAGGGGCTCCTGCAGCAGCGGGGGGTACATGGAGATGTACTCGCGTTGCAGGTGCTCTCTGTAAGGGTCTATTACCCTGGTGGAGAGGCAGGCCACGTTCATCAACGTCATCATCCCCCGGAGCGTCATGATCCTCCAGGTAGGAGGCAGCACCCAGGGAAACCGGGCCTGGTACCGCCGGGGTGATGGGAGTCTGGGGAGCGAGAGCCGCGTTATGTGGACTGCCCAATTGTGACGTTGTGGGGTGGTAACCTGATGCCGCTGGAGAAACACCCACAGCGTAGGGCTGGGCCGATGTAGCTGGTTCTTCAGAGCCAACCACCATGAGGGGAAAGCTGGGACTCGGATCAGAGGCACACGGGACAGGGGCAGGACCGGACAGGGTGACACGGGACTGGGCGAGAGGCTGGGCCAGGGCGGAGAGGGCTGAGGTGAGGATAGATCGCTCAATAGGGAGTGTAGGAGGGGGAGGGTCCATGGGTGAGGTAGGAAGGGCTGGGCGGGTCAGAGCCGAGAGGGTGGAGAGGAGGGAAGACAGTTCAGCAGGAAGAGATGGGGGAAGAGGGGACGGGTCTACAACGGGAGGGGCCTCGGGGAGCAAAGGAGGAGTTGCAGGATGACGGGAAGGCTCGAGGGCGGCAGAGAGGGCTGTGAGAAGGGAGGACACCAGATTAGTAGAGGAACCAGAAGTATTAGCGGTGGGAGAAGAACTGGAAGTAGTAGTAATGAGATTAGTAAGGGGAGTGGAAGACACAGTAGTCGTAGTAGGGTTGGGGGGTGTGACAGACGTGACGGGGGTTGAGGTCAACTGGGATCGGGGATAGGAAGGGCTAATGGTGAGACAATAGAAGCAGGCGGGGACTTTGATCGGGGTGGTGGACAGGGAGGTGGCGGAGGAGGGACCGGGAGCTGGGAGGGGACTGGGAGGGGACTGGGAGGACAGGCTGGGATGGGGCTAGGTCGGGGGAGGAGAATGGCTGGGCCATGGGGACGTGGGGAAAAGAATGTAACGGTACTGGATTGTAATAGGCTCCGTCAGCTCCAATCACAGGACATAAGGGGGTGGAACCATGTACTACGCCACTGGGAGGTGGTGTCTGGGTGTTAACCGGAGAAGTTGGGCGGGAGCTGTTCAGCACGGTCTGGGCGCCATCATAGGGCGGTGGCCGGGGATTTTCAGGGGAAACATCAGTGTTACAAGCATTTCGATGGTACACATAAATCGTTTGTCCCTCAAACTCTAGTTCCTCCTCCGTCCAACCCTCCCGCTTAAGTCCCCTAGCAACCCGATACCAAGCCTCTACAGCTTTGGTTAGCCCATTATCTGACAATAACCCTTCTTTGTCCACAAGCAACTTCCTCCAAAACTCAGGCTGCAACCTACCACTGGGTGACATTTGAAAACCATAGACCTTAGCAATTTTCTTGATTTTCAACATTGCTCCTCCCCTGCCCTTTCCTTCACAATATCACAAGCTAAAAATCCTTTAGCTGGTCTAGCATGTTCTTGTCCCATCTTGACCAAGCGAGGTCTGCCGAGCAAAGGGGACCGGGTGAGCGGGAAGAAAAAGTAGGAAAGTCTACAGTGCTCGACTGCCACGGGGGACCCGTACATCTTCCCAAAATGTAGTCTAGTCACAATGGTCCGTGCACCCAAGATGGTGACCACGGATCGGAGCGGGCGAGCGTGGGTGACTAACACAGCTCTGGGCAACAGGCACAGGATAGATACAGAAGAAGGGAAAAGATAAATGTGGCAACACTAAGCACTAGACATTTACAGAAATCACATACATAGAAATGAGTGTACACTCCAGAATCAAGGACAAACCACACAACACACACACATACACCAAAGGTACCCACACTGTAGCAACAATTGAACAAAATCCACAAAATGACAGAGAGCAATATGGCCATGTACATAATAAAGCAGACAATGGAAATAAAAAATCAATAACCCCAGCCTCTCTCTCCAGGCTGTAACCCTGTACAGTAACATCCCACCTTCTAACAGATGATCCACAATCTTTCACCGGCCTCCTGTTATATCCCAACCCAGCTACCTGGGTGGTCCCCAGCCCTTCACCGGCTGCCTACAGTTTCCCTACCCTATCACACGGGTGGCCCCCAGCCCCTCACCGGCTGCCTGCAGTTTCCCTACCCTATCACACGGGTGGCCCCCAGCGCTGCTAACAACAACCCAACCCTCTTACTCGGGTGGTCCCCAGCCCCTCTCCGGCTGCTCACAATTCCCGCCCGCCAGGCGGTCTGTCTAAAAACCATGAGAGGACACTCACACCGGCCGTCACACACATGCAAATTCACAGGAGGCAGATAGACAATCGACATGTTCGCTTTAAATAGGCACCGGATAAGATATTACCTGTCTAGTAGCCTTCTGGATGCAGGAAGTGGACGCGGAGGCAGACCGACACAAAACAGGAGTATACAGACAACGGCTGTATATTGGAGGTGATCAGGCTCCGGGTGTCCCACTTTCCGGAGGTCCGCTCCGGTCCGTTGGTTTCCGGACCTCCGAGCTGGCAAATCTGGTGCCCCACGTTGGGCGCCAATTGAAGTGGAAATCAATTCAATCAATTGATTATTTTTGTGTTTCTGCCCCTGTCCAAATTAAGAAACAATGCGTGCACACTCCCTGAAGTAATTCACACCAGACACAGGTTTCAGGTTGATGAATAACTTGAGGAATGTTTATTCAGAGGGGACGGCAGGTCCCTTTTAAAGCAAAATTACATCATAAGCATTGTCAGAAATAACATGAAATAATACTTTATTAATTGGTTAGGTGTTAAGTGGTTTCCCTAATACTCTGCCTACTAAGGGTGATGTCACTGAGACCATGAGGGTCTCCCCCAGATTCCAGCGCCATCTTGTTACACGAGGTAGTTAGTCGGTGTTATAGGGAGGGAGGGGTTAGAAGCTTCTAGTGGCCATTTTGTCTAAATATGTGTTAATAGCTTATGCACTGATTTCGGTTAAATGAGTAAATAGGCATTTTACTAACTAGAAAATATGTCAATATCTCATTTCCACAACAATAGGGAAGTCCTAAAACTATTTATGGATGTCACAGAAAACATATGCTGTTTGCAACAGTTCATCCCCTTGTTTGCCCACCTCATGAACTAGATGGATGCCTTCAAGGAAATAAGGGAAGTTTTTCCTGGTGGCACACTCCTGACCGATGTAGCATCTGTGATCAGGAGGATGAAAATTGCTGTGAAGTCTTTTTTCTAAATTTCTAGAAGTATTCTAACATGTGGTGGTGTTTTCAAATTTTAATAGTAGTTGGTTCTCACTGCCTGGCTTGGCAGATGCACTTGGTATAGGCTGATAGAGCACTATTTTATTCCACACTAAAGGACAGCCACTCACTCTACCTACTGATGTGTGAGAAATTTTTATTCACTTCGCAAGTTGCCTACTTACTTTTTCCTTTCAATTTTGTTTTTCAATCCATTTTTTTCAAACTGAAATACGCTAGTACCTCTCCTTTAATTTACACGATTGCACACAGAAAAAAACACCATCAATTAATATTTGTTTAATGCAGATATAATAACATTATTATGACAACTTACAATTAGCATTGCAAAAAGGCCTGCTTTGACCTAATGACTAGGAAATATTTTATCTAGTTTTGCATTGCAGTAAACAAATAAGCCCATTTTGTGCCATTTGGTATATCCTGATTATTTTTCCACATCAACTGCAAACCAAAACAACAGATTTACAAATTGAACTAGATAGATGGATAGATAGATAGATAGATAGATAGATACAATATGACTATCTGACTTGTTCTATATGAAATGGCTGCCAGCAACAGAAATGCTATTTTCCCCGAATAATAAAAATGTATTTAAAGCCAATGCTGGTTATTGAGTCAGCTCTACAAACAATGAGTTATAGAAGCAGACTTTATATTGTCTTCCTAACAGCTTTTATAAATAGCATGTTTACATTAACACAGAGTGGAAAATACTTTAGAATTGAAAGCCAGTAGAAGAAAGGCAAATTGTAATGATTTACCCGTTAGCCAGATCTTTGTGTATAAGCGTTATTAACTGCCTGGCAATGATCCAGGGAAATACCCCTCATATAGTCGTAGTACAAATGTCCTTTAAACACATTCCCTTTTTTATCTGGTATTTTCTAGAGTTTCCATCTTCAGATTTTGCACACCACAAGACAAAAAGAAGCCAATTTTACATGAAATAAAATTTCTCAGATTACTTAACTGGCATACTGGGTATGTATTTGGAGTTAAAATGCAGAATTATGCTGAAAAGGCAACATATGGGTCATTTAACCTATTAATGTAGAGAGTAGTTTACAAGGCACTGGACTAATATTAAAAATGTTAAATTATAAATGATAAATTATATAAAATATTAACAAGTGTGGACTCTGATTATTTAAATGGACAGTATAGTCACCCAGACCACTTCAGCTCAATGAAGTGGTCTGGGGGCCAGGTCTCTCAGGTTTTAACCTTTCACATGTAAAAATAGCAGTTTCAGAGAAACTGCTATGTTTACATAGCAGGGTTAATCCAACCTCTAGTGGCTAGAGGCGCTTCTGCGACGCATCCAGCGTCCAGCATCCAGCGTGCAGAACGTCCATAGGAAAGCATTGAGAAATGCTTTCCTATGGACTGTTAGAATGCGCGCACAGCGGAGAGGTCACCAGCGCCGAGAGAGCACGGCGCTGGATTAAGGTACGCTGCTGAAGCGCCACAGGAGGGGGACCCTGAAGATGAGGGTCCCCCAAGGATGACATAGTGTCAGGAAAACAGGTTTGTTTTCCTGACACTATAGTGATCCTTTAACCATCATCCACAACTTTCGTACCTTTCGTATCTGCCCTCTGCTCATGGCAACAACACAATAAATCTACAACAACTCCAGGCTTATGTATGAAGGCTTTTCATTCCATAAACATGTTGGGTGGATCTAGTAATAGTTAAACCTCCAACAAAGGGTTTGAGAAAGACCCTTCTAGGTTGAAATATTAACATGTTCAACCTAATGTTTGGTGGAGTAGGACTCATTTTTCAATCGGGTGCAGTGATTTTGGTGCCTAATGGCTTTTTTAAATTTGCAAAGGTTCCATAGTGTTGAAGAAAATATTATCTTCAGGTTTTTTTTTTCTTGTTTTAGCCTGAACATTGCAATTTAATTGGTGAATCACTGCAGTTTGGTGTATAGGGGTTAAACATGCCTTTTTAACGCAACTGAAAATTAGGAGGGTTCAAAGTGAAATCTTAAAAAATTTAAGTGATTTTCAAATATTCAGATACTCTTAAAAAATAAGTTTATGTAGGAAAGGCAATATTATTGTGATGTGAGCAGTAGAGATGTCGCGAACCGTCCGCGAACTTCTCGCGAACGGTTCGCCACGGTTCGCCACGAGCTTTTCGTGGCGAACTCCGGTCAGCTGACACGTCCCGGCCAATCTCCAGCAGACCCTCCCTCCCAGACCATCCTACTTCCTGGACAGCATCCATGTTGAAACTTACAAAGCCTTACAAATACCTATAAATAAGGTATTTGAACATTCTCATTTAGCTTTTTGTTTCTCATGTCTACTGAATGTAAGAAATGTTTTCTTTTTGTTTTTCTAACATTTCAGACCCTGTGTGAAATATTGCAAGATAAAATACACTGTATACTGTCTAAAATGTTTCATTTTCCAAATATTATTTCTAAAGGCTGAATGAATAAGTGAAAAATAAAAATTGTGTAAATTTACACATTTTCTTTGTTTTTTTTTATATTTGCATGTGTCTGCAGAGCAACATATACACAACATAGCTGTGTTATGATATATTTAAATGCTTGCTGTGCATCCCTACCTTCAAATACATGTTATGGTAATATTTTTCAATTAGAAATTGCTTGACGGTGAAGGGGTTAAACAGTGCTATATTTGATGCATATAACATTTTCAAAAAGAGAGCCCAAACATATAAGCAAAAGGCCTGTGCGAGCCGCATACTCACAGTGGATGCTTACAAGTGCATTGGAGCATTTAAGTTGTTCATTACACATTTCCATTAAATATTTAAAAGCCTGCAGAACCCAGCAAGACAATCGACCTATTTTACAAGAAGTAGAAGAGCTGTCTTTTAACACTGGGCATTTTGATACTATGAAACTTTTAATACTGTAAAAGCAGGAAAAAACTCTAGATAATGCATTTTTTTAATTGTCAGTAGCTGACCAAATTCCAAATGAAGTAACACATTTACTTCCGATTAAAGGATTTATAGGATAGGACTAAAGGATTTAGGTTATAACAGTACAAAGTATTATAAAGCCAATATATATTGTCTCTAAGTCTTTATGAGGCTCTAAATGTCTACTATGTGATTACCAATTCCTTGTCTTTACAGGACCACTAATGCCACCAAAATGTCATATTAAGGAAATGGTCTGTGTTCACTGGTCCTTTCTTTTGTTTTTAAAAACTGCAATGTTTATAATTACAGGGTTAAATCAAATTGTAATGACTGTCATAAAACTCAGTCATGTGACACATTTAATTAAACGCTGTCCTACAGTGCCTTGCAAAAGTATTCACCCCCTTGGCATTTTTCGTGTTTTGTTGCCTCACAACCTGGAATTAACATGGATTGTTTGAGGATTTGCATAATTTAATTTACAGAACATGCCCACACTTTTGAAGATGTTTTTCTTTTTTTATTTATTGTGAAGCAAACAACAAATAGGACAAAATAACAGAAAAAGTCAATGTGCATAACTATTCACCCCCCTAAAGTCAATACTTTGTAGAGTCACCTTTTGTGGCAATCACAGCTCCAAGTCGCTTTGGATAAGTCTCTATGAGCTTGCCACATCTTACCACTGGGATTTTTGCCCATTCCTCCTTGCAAAACTGTTCCAGCTCCTTCAAGTTGGATGGTTTGCGCTTGTGAACAGCAATCTTTAAGTCTGACCACAGATTTTCTATTGGATTGAGGTCTGGTTTCACTGTGGGGATTGTTGTTCTTTGGGTGATGTGATATATTGGGTTTGCGCCAGTCATAGTGTTTTCTTTGATGGCCGAAAAGTTCAATTTTAGTCTCATCAGACCAGAACATCTTCCTCCATACATTTTGGGAGTCTCCCACATGCCTTTTCACAAACTCAAAACGTGCCATTTTGTTTTTTGCTGAAAGTAATGGCTTTCTTCTAGCAACTCTGCCATAAAGCCCAAATCTATGGAGCGTACGGCTTATTGTCGTCCTATGTACAGATACTCGTCTCTGCTGTGGAACTCTGCAGCTCCTCCAGGGTTACCTTAGGTCTCTGTGCTGCCTCTCTGATTAATGCCCTCCTTGCCCGGTCCGTGAATTTTGGTGTGCAGCCGTCTCTTGGCAGGTTTGCTGTTGTGCCATGTTCTTTCCATTTGGTTATGCTAGATTTGCTGATGCTCCTGGGGATCATCAAAGATTTGGATATTTTTGTTGTACTTCTCAACAACATTGTCTCTTACTTGTTTGGAGAGTTCCTTGGTCTTCATGGCAGTGTTTGGTTAGTGGTGCCTCTTGCTTAGGTGTTGCAGCCTCTGGGGCCTTTCAAAAAGGGTGTATATATGTAATGACAGATCATGTGACACTTAGATTGCACACAGGTGGACATCATTTCACTAATTATGTGACTGCTGAACAGTGGCGGATCCGGGGGGGGGGGGCAACAGGCAATTCCCCCCCCCCCCCGAGAAAATCGAGGGTCTCCCTGTCCCCTGCCAGCACATGCAGGCGCTAGCCCTGCAATGTGCCTTCATGGACCGGAGAGGGAGATCAGAGATCTCCCTGGTCTGCAGGCACTGTGCTGGCAGCCGGCGGGGGGAGGGAGAGGACCCGGGAGCTCAGCCTGCAGCTCCTCTGAGTCCTACTCTCGCGAGCATGGAGCGTTACTGCGGTTACCACGGCAACGCTCCAAATCTCGCGAGAGTGAACTCTAGCCCAGGAGCGCGGGCTAGAGTTCACTCTAACCACTGGGCCACCAGGGAATCCCCACCGGACCACCAGGGACTAAGAAATGTAAAGGTAAGAAGGGAGGGGGGACATAAATATATTTATTTTAATTAAATAAATATAAAAAAGTATATTATAAAAAAGCCCCCCCTAGCCTTATCACACACACTTCTACCCTACATGCACACATTGCCCCTCCCCCTCACACACATACTGCCCGCCCATACACACTCTGCCCCCATACACACATTGCCCCCCTCACACACACACACACTGCCCCAGACACACATACACTGCCCCCAACACACACACACACCCCCACACACACACTGCCCCAGACACTGCCCCACACTGCCACACATACACTGCCCCACACACACTGCCCTACATACACACTGCCCAGTGCGCCTTACACTGTCCCCCCACTTACACACTGCCCCAGACACACACATACACATTCCCCACACACATACACTGCCCCCCCCACACACACTGCCCAGACACATACACTGCCCACACACTCTGCCCCAGACACACATACTGCCCTCCACACACACATTGCCCCTCCACACACACACATTTGCCTCCACATACACACTGCCCACACACATACACAAAACCTGTCCCCCACACACATTTGCCCACATACACATACACTGCCACATACACTGCCCCATACCACACACTGCCCAGACACACATACACTGCCTATACACACACTGCCTTAGGCACACATACTACCCCATACACATACACTGCCCCCACACATACACACATTACTTTACACTAACATTGCTACACACACATTGCCCATACACACATACACTGCCCCCAGAAACACATACACTGCCCCACACACATACACACACAGCCCCACACACATACACACACCAACACACACACATACACTGCTATACACACACATTGACCACCCACATACACACATTGCCCCCACACATTGCTTACACACACATTTACCCCACATACACATACACTTCCCCAAACACACCTTTTACTGCTACCACATACACTGCCCACGCACATACACTGCCCACATACACATACACTGCCCCCACACACATACTGCCCACACACCACTTCCCTACACAAACACATGCACTGCCCCCACACACACTGTCCCCATACACACATACACTGCCCCCATACACACATACACTGTCCCCACACACACACTGCCCCACACACACACACTGCCCCCACACACACATACACTGCCCCCATACACACATTGCCCTACACATACACTGCCCACCATACGCACATTGCCCTACACATACACTGCCCCCCCATACACACATACACTGCAACTGTCACACACACATACTGACCCACACATACACTGCCCCCTAACACACACACTGCACCCCTGACATACACTGCTGCCCTCACTCACACACTGCAACCTTCACACACACACACTGCTCACACACTGTCCCCCTCACACACACACACTGCACTTTGATGTCGTTCCTAAGTGTAGGCCACCAGAACTTCCTGGAGATAACAGAGAGCGTTTTATGGACTCCAGGATGACCTGCTGTCAAATTATTATGGAATAATCCAAGTACCTTTTTCCTTAAAGGTGGTGAAACGTACAGTTTATCCGGAGGTCTCTCCACGGGTGCCTGAGTTTGATCTGCTATTATGGCACAGAAGAGTGGAGAAGACACTTTGGATATTGTAGTGGCAATAAGGCATTCTGGAGGTATGATAGGGAACATCTCTTGTTCAGGAACCTCATCTGTCTCAAACTGCCTAGACAGCGCATCTGCCTTGGTGTTCTTGGTCCCGGGCCTGTACGTAATTACCAAATTGAATCGGGAGAGGATCTAGCCTGACGAGAGGACAATCTCTTAGCATCCCCAATATAAGCCAAATTATTATGATCAGTAAAAATCAGAAGTGGCTCTTTGGAACCTTCTAAGAGATGCTTCTATACTTTAAGGGCAAGTACAATGGCCAATAACTCCCTATTCCCAATGTCATAATTTTTCTCTGCAGATGTTAGTTTTCGAGAGAAAAACCCACAGGGATGTAAAGGCGTATCAGGATGGCTCCTACTCCTGTTTCTGACGCATCTACTTCTAGAATAAATGGTTTGGTTGGATCGGGATGTGTCAGGACAGGTGCTGAGGCAAATAAAGATTTTAATTGCTCAAATGCCTCCTTTGCTTCCTCGGGCCATGAATTGCAATTTGCTCCTTTTTTGGTTAGGTTGGTAATAGGAGAGATTACAGAGGAAAAGCCTTTAATGAACTTGCGGTAATAATTAGCAAAACCTATAAAGCGTTGTGTAGCTTTAAGGCCTTTGGGTAATGGCCATTGTAAGACTGCTTCCAATTTGCATGGGTCTATTTTGAAACCAGACGGAGATATAACATACCCAAGAAATTGTATCTCAGTCTGGTCAAATTGGCATTTCTCCAGCTTACAGTAGAGGCCGTTCTTTAACAGGGTTTTTAGTACTGTTCTCACATGTTCGTGATGTGTCTCTAAATCTGGGGAATAGATGAGAATGTCATCTAGATACACTAAAACGAACATGTGGAGATATTCGCTAAGGACATTGTTAATGAAATCCTGAAACACCGCTGGGGCGTTGCACAGTCCAAACGGTATAACTAGGTATTCGTAATGTCCAATTCTCGTATTAAATGTGGTCATCCACTCGTGCCCTTCCTTAATTCTGACTAGGTTGTAAGCACTTCTGAGGTCGAGCTTAGTGAAGAATCGGGCCCCTTTCAACCTATCGAATAATTCAGAAATAAGAGGAATGGGATAGGTGTTTTTTATTGTTATTCTATTCATACCCCCATAGTCTATACAAGGGCGTAGGTCTCCTTCTTTTTTAGAGACGAAGGAGAACCCAGCCCCAGCAGGTGAAGAGGATCTACGTATGTGAACCTTTCTGAGAGCATCCTTTATGTACTCTTCTAAACAAAGATTTTCTTGGGGAGATAGTGCATATACTCCTCCTTTAGGGGGCATAGTGCCTGGTAACAAATTTATGGCACAGTCGTAGGGTCTATGTGGTGGTAATACCTCTGTCAGGATTACTGTTTGATCCAGCACGCAGAACTGTACAGCACGGATGACAAATAAGTAACGTATTACCGGTCCTTAGAATGGCCGGATTTAACGTACAAAGAATAGTCAAAAATACTACCCGAGGTCAGGGAACACAGAAAGGGACACAGCGATGAGGAAAGCCAGGAGTCAGGATACCAGAATATAGAGAAGTCAATAAACAAAGCCAAAGTCAAAAACCAGGTAGAAAACTATAAACAGGAACGCGCTCTCGGACAACCACAAGGGAAACCACGACAGGGCACTGAGCAGGCTGAGAACTGGGCCTAAATACCCCTCCTTTAGTTCTGATAGGCTGTAACCGGCCTTTGACCCCAAAGTCAGTTACCAGGTTTCATTTGCATAATTGCTGCTCAGCATTAACCCTTTTGTGGATTAGGTTGCTGCTCGGCACAACTTTTCCTGTGTGGACAGTAAATGTCATTAACCACTTTTCTATAAGCGGATGAATACGTGACACCAGGTTTCATTTGCACAATTACTGCTCAGCATTAACCCTTCTGTGGATTAGGTTGCTGCTCGGCACAACTTATCCTGTATGGACAGTAAATGTCATTAACCACATTTCTATAAGCGGATGAATATGTGACAACCTCAGACTGTACCTTGTTGAATACCTCCTTTAAGTCCAAATACTGCGGTGGGATTTCTGTGGTCAAGGGAGGCGCTATAAGTATATTGAGGGTACCAATTAGTTGTTGCACCTGTTTTAAACAAATACCTCTGCATCTCTCACCCCAACTCACAATTTCTCATTCAACCCAAACGTGGATTGTGTTTCTGGAGCCAAGGGAAACCCAGTATTATCGGACATGTAGGTGAAGATATAATTTGGAACACCATTTCTTCAGAATGTAAGATACCCACTGAGACAGTGATTGGCAGGGTTTCATGCGTGATGAGAGGCTGGGTAAGAGGTCTCCCATCAATAGCCTCTACTGCTATGGGTCTTTCTTTCTGCCTTAAGGGCAGGAGATGTTTGGCAGAGAATTCCTTGTCTAGAAAATTCTCCGCTGCCCCAGAGTCAATCATAGCCTCACACTGTACAGTGGTTTTCTTACAAGACAAAGTAATTTTTATAAGGAAACGATTCTTAGTCAATTTAGGTGACATATACATCACACCTAAGGTCGGTCCCCGAACGTGCCTTAGGTGTGCGAGTTTTCCGGCCGAACCGGACATGAAAACCTTTGATGTCCCCTTTTGCCTCTGAGTCTGTTATCAATGTCTATCATGTATGCAATAAAGTCATTAAGGTTAACTGGAAGATCTCTGGCTGCGGTCTCGACTTGTATATTTTCCGCTAAACCTTCGCAAAAAGCAGCCACCAAACCGCTATTGGTCCAGTTAACCTCAGACGCCAATGTCCTGAACTCTATGGCGTAATCAGCTGCAGAGCGGTTGCCTTGTTTTATTCTCATTAGGGCTCTGGCAGAGTTCTTTTCTCTCCCTTTTGGCTCAAAAGTAGTTTTGAAAGCTCTTACGAATACATTGTAATCATGGGCAACTGGATTTCCACTCTCCTATAAGGGATTAGCCCAGGTTAAAGCCTTACCCATTAATTGGTTCATTTGATAGCCAATTTTCGATCTATCTGTAGGGAATGAACCAGGGGAAGCTTCGAAGTGATATTCAATTTGGTTTAGAAAACCTCTAAATTCCTTAGAATCACCTTCAAAACGAGGGGGAGGTGAAAGGGTTATGGACGGTGGTTTGTGTGCCACAGGTGCTATTACAGGTGGCGGATCCACAGGTGGTACCGGAGGTGCCTCCAGATAGGCAGTTCCCTGGAGCAAGGTCTGGAATTGATCTAACCTGTGGTCCATATCCTCCACCCTACTCTCATAGGCAATCATATGTTTGCATAGTTCAGCAGGATCCATGGCCCTGTCGTAATGTCACGGCTGCTGTGGTCCAACACGCAGAAACTATAAAAAAGGAAAGGAGCCGTTCCCAGCTCGCTGGCGAGCAGGTAAGCTCGCAATATCGGCGAGGTGGTGCCGGTCAGGCACGGCTGCGCCATGCGGCAGACCGGGAGCCGCAACAGTATCTTTAATAGACATAAGGCCTGGTCATCCTGTGCAGCACACGGTGCCTGTTAGTGAGACAGCTAAACACACATATAACTTTTCCCTAGTCTTCTCCAGGTATTCTGTCTTCCTGATCCAACTTGTTATTCGGTCATTCTTTGTCTGCTGCCTGTACTAACCTCTTGCATGTTATGTAATTGTTCCAGCTTCTGGTGTCCCTGGCTTGTTTCTACCTTTGCTACTTCATTAGGGGTGTTTTTAAAAGGTCACGAGGTGAGGTGTCCAACCACTTTAAGGTAAGTGATATGTTCTTCTATCCCTGTTTATATCTGCCAACAGAGTTCCAACCTTGTTAGTTAGGAAAATGTGCTTTCTTTTGATGTGTTTTTTTAGTGTATCAATATTACCACATACTGCTCATTACAAAGAGGGTATTATGATGGTTTCTTTGAAATTGGAAAAGAGCCATGATTACCTGTCTAGCACTCCTGAGCCTCATCTAGAGCTTACCACAAGAGTATGTCAGTAATTATTCTGAATACTCACAACTGGTGCAACTTCCCCTAGTAAAAGGAGTAGTGGTTTGCACCTTGACACCTCCTATGCAGGAAATGATAAATATGTAAAGGGAAATGCAACCGGAGCACTATTTCATCATTCATCCTGATTTTCAAAACACAATACATCTTGAAAAATATAGTGAAAAAAAATATAGTTAGAGTTTAGAGAGGGGTTGGGTGTAGTCTGCTGTAATCATAATCGTTAAATCATAATCATAAAAAAACAGTGCATTCACATACTCTCCACACATTTTAAAGTAAATATGTAATAATTTTATATTTTTACTGAAAATATCAAAATACACTTTATTACATCAAGACAACTAACCAAGGATCAACCAATATAATCCTTTTCAATGATTTATTACAATATCATTAAATATCTTGATGTAATTAACTAAATTTACTTCAACACTGTCAAAATCAGTCACAAAAGCGAGAATTCAAAGTAAATTATGTTAGTAATAATAGCTGGCGTGCGTGTGTTGGAGAACTAACTGTTGCTGGTAACTCTCACGTTGTGTTCTTGTTTTGCCAAACTTCCTCTCTATCTCATGCTGTGCAGTTATTTTGTCTTTGAGATCTTCATTTGTGAGCTCTAACTTCTACATGCTGTTGTTCTGCTAATACAACTACTTAATTTCAACCGTTTAGTTCATGACTACCTTGCATGCCTGTGTGGTGGTCAGACATTTAAGGCAGTTATGGATTGGAGGAATAATGTAAAAAATGTTGGATTTGTGGTCACCCTTACTTCCCTTTTTGCTCCTGGACAGCAGGCTACATGAGCTATCTCCCATCCAACTGCCCTGTCTTCTGTGTGTTTTCCCTTTTTTGTACTTTCTTTGCATGTTCCCCCTTTTTTTCCCTGTCTTGTACTGGATTTTCTATCTTTTGTGCTTGCTTTTTGTCCTTTCTGGTGTTTTGTTTGCTCTGTTTTTCAGTTATTGGAGGACAAGCTCCGGAGGACATGGTAGCTTGAGGTTAGAGCATTGGGAGAGGGGGATCACACTCATAAAGTTGTCATGTTCATTATTGGGAGTGGGGTTAAGGGTCTTGGGATGAGTTTTCAGCGTGAATTGGCAGTCTATGTGTATGTACATCAATGTGTGTGTCTGTGGATGTGCCTGTGTGTGTATATGAATGCAATGTAAGTATGTGTGAATTTGAATGTCTATGTATATGAAAGTGTGTATGTATATACATGTGAGTATGTGCTTGAAGTTTTCCTAAAAAGAGAGGGTTTAGGGGGTAATACAATCTATAAAATCTATAGTTTGGGAGTGCCAAAATGCATTTTGCTCCAATTTAATATTTTGGATAATCCAGTATCACTAAATCCTATCCCAACTCACATCCACTTGAAACACAGAAATTTAGGTCATAACATCACTTTATACAGCACCATAACCAGCTGAAGAATAATACATTGTTTGAATACTGTCTACAGTCATATGGTAAAACCAATGTAGGTGACAGACTATGTCACCTATACCTACAAATAACTTTTAGTATAGTTTATTTAAATTATGGGCCTTATAAAAGAAAAAAAAAAATAATTACGTAACAATAAAATCACTTGTTCAGTAACTTTTTATCCCATGTAATAATTAATTATCAGTGCTTGAATATTTAAGTTCCACAGAGATTGTTCAGAATACTCAGCTTATCATAATGTTATATCATTCATTATTTTCATATTTCAGAATGCTTTTTGGAAGATATGAGCGTTTGTAATTCCTAACAGATAGAAATAACTAAATAACTGTTATCAGTTGCATATTTAAAATTAAAAACAAAATCTGAGTTTTTTTTAAAGTGGCTTGGCAGAGCTTGCAAATAACATGACTTGCAATGAAAGACATACAGTTACACTGTTAATCTGTAGCTTCGTAATTGTATTTCCTAATTTGAAGATTTTAAAAATATATTATTTTTACTTGTCATATCGCTATACTTTTATGAGTTCTCAATCAATGGGAGTGGGAAGGACCATCGGGTAATTGTCCAGTTGACAAGAAGAACAATAGGGACTTTGCAGTGGTTCCCCTCAGAACTGTAATGGCAAGAAATCAAGCAGACAATTTTTGCCAATGACTGTGTTATTGCTGAGGCACTGTAAACTATAATTTATGTTTCACTAGGCACCCCTATTTGCATAATATTTTAGGGAGGGAGTCAAAACACAGCTGACATACTTACTGATTCCGACTTAGTGTAGAACAATGATTTTTTTTTTCTATAAAGCCTAAATAGATTTTGATTAGAACACAGAATATTGTTTCTTAAAAAAGGGGAACTGTTTTTTTTTTTAATAAATGTCCAGGAGATTATTATATAATAATATAAAAATCTTGCCCTGTTGTTATGTAAAAATAATTGGTTATTAAGTAAAGTCATATAAAAAGCCACTTCTCAATATTCAGACATTGACTGTAACTACTGTAGATATTTGTCTTGTAACCTTACTTCTGCTTTCAGTTGCTAGGCAGATGAGTGAGTCCATTGTTTAGAATGGATTAGACTTGCCCGGCACAGTGTGGAGATGATCTTCATTGATTTTCTTTTCCACGTTCTGCTCAGTAACATATGAGAGTGAAAAAGCTGTGTGACTGAATGCCGAGATATGAGATTGAGAAATAAAATACAAGAGATGTATCATGTGACCAGCTTACAATAACTTCCCATGCAACATGCAGGCACCAAGTGGAGAGTCAAAATCAGGGGTATTTGTAGGTTATGCAAATCCCCAAAAAGGTGACAGAGCTGCTTTAAGGACATGATACTGAAACTTTGAAAATAAAAAATATATTGTACATTTACGATTATTGTGAAGATTTTCACGTACAAGATGGGACTTGCAGTGTCCAAAAATACTTTATTCATGATGAGACACGCATGCCTCAAAAGTTCCCTAATAGAAATATCATGTACAAATATTTAGCAACAGGTTCTCATATGAAATATCATGCATTCCGAAATGGGTGGTGATCATTGATATGTAACACTGCAGAGGAGAAAAGTGAGAAGAAAAAGCAAAAGAGACAGAAAAAGAGCAGTGGGTGAGAAGAGGGGGAATGTCAGGCACCCATATGGACTATGTCAATTTATAAATTAGTCTAGAATTATCAATAGAAATTGATATTTAAGAGCTATCCAGGACTGCCTGCAAGCCGGCAGATTCTGTGTTAGACCACCATATGGCCTAAGGACCATATGAGCTCCTCTATTGCCCTGAGATCCTCCATCGTGGAAAACTGAAGTGACGTGGATACGGCTTTCACCCAAGTAGAGGATCAAATGTTTACCATTATTCAGTATTTGAATGGCCATTAATTATTTACATCTTTAGGTTGCCAATGAGATATGGTGGAGCAACAGGAAGATGCTGGTTGGAATGGAGGAGGATGAATAATACATCACTTGATAACAAATCTTATTTTTATGGTATTCTCCTGGTTTCTTCATGAAATAAATCTAAAAACAAAGTACAAACAGACATGATATCAACCCTATCTTGGCTGTGATATGAAGATTTATACAACATTGCTTTAGCTCTCAGAAACCGGATGTCTGAACAGCAAGATTCTATCCTTCTTTAAAAGAAATATGCCTTGTATCTCATTACGGAAGTAGATAAGATGGAATAGAGTACAATATAGCTATTCGTCATAAAAAGGTTAAAACAACACAAGAAATTCTCCAGCCACTTAAGGTGTTCAAGCCACAGGCAGTTTTAATAGAACAGAAAAAGGAGCAGCAATGTTTCGACCTGCCAAGAGGTCTTTGTCTTGACAGGTTGAAACATTGCTGCTCCTTTTTCTGTTCTATTAAAACTGGCTGGGGCTTGAACACCTTGAGTGCCTGGATAATTTCTTGTGTTGCCTTATCGTTGTGGGATTGCTGGTCCTGCTCCGGAGCACCGGGTGGCCGCTGAGATTGAGTGCGGCTCCCATTGTCATTTTTGCAATAAAAAGGTTAATAGGCTTATATCATGGCTGGAAGCTCAAACCCCTGACCCAACATACATATCTATACCACATCAGTGCATGGATAGGTAATTGCGTTGAGAATGGGGTTTGACTGGTGTCTCTGGTTCTACCCAGATCTTTTATTTTTCTTCTTCTTTTTTCTCCTTTATGACTTGACTCTTACATCCTTGATTTGTTATTTTCACTTTTTGTCAGTTCAACATATTCCCCCCAATGAGATATACTTGTCATTTAAAGAACCATAATGCACACATATATGTTACATAACACATAACTATTATTTTCCTAATCCAGGGCCGGCGCTGCCTGTAAGGCGGACTAGGCAGCCGCCTAGGGCGCCCCTTGGGAAGGGGCGCCGCCAGGAGCGCCGGCCCCCCCATGCTGCAGCCGCCCGAGCGCTCTGCAGAGAGCCTCAGGCGGCTGCAGCTTTGCCCAGACGGTGCGTCCATGAGGGAGGACCGCACCGCCCGGGCGCAGCATGAGGAGAGGGCCTGACAGGAGGGAAGCGCTCAGCGCTCCCTCCTGTCACTCCCTCTGTAGTAGCGTGGCCGAGCCCAGAATAGTCCGCGGGTACAGGGAGCATCTGTCTCCTGTACCCGGCCGGACTAACAGGAAGTGAACACTGAGTGTTCACTTCCTGTTAGTCCGGCCGGGTACAGGAAACAAAAGCTCCCTGTACCCGCGGACCATACAGGGCTCGGCCACGCTACAATAGAGGTAGGGAGGGTGGGGGGGAATAAATGGACAGGGGAGAGTGGGGGAATAAATGGACAGGGGGAGGAATAATGGACAGGCAGGAGGGGGGGAATAAAATGACAGGAGGGGAGGGGGGAATAAACGGACAGGGGAGGAATAAATGGACAGGAGTGGAGGGGGAAATATGGACAGGAGGGAGGGGGGAAATGACAGGGGAGGAATAAAATGGACAGGAGGGGAGGGGGGATAAAATGGACAGGGAGGGAGGGGGGAATAAATGGACAGGAGGTGGAGGGGGGAATAAAATGGACAGGGGGATAAAATGGACAGGGGGAGCAACAATGGACAGGGGAGGGGAGGGGGGAACAAAATGACAAGGAGGGGAGGGGGGAATAAATGGACGGGGAGGAAATAAAACGACAGGAGGGGAATAAATGGACAGGAGGGGAGGGGGGGAATAAATGCATGAGGGAGGAATAAATGGACAGGAGGAGTGGGGGAGGAATAAATGGACAGGAGGGGAGGGGAGGAATAAAGTTCGGACAAGGGATGGGAGGTAGAGATAAATGACAGGAGGGGGGAGATAAAATGGACAGGAAGGGGGGGAAATAAATGGACAGGAGGTGGGGGAATGGACAGGAGGGGGAATAAATGGACAGGAGGGGGGGGGAAATACATGGACAGGGGGAGGGGGGAATAAATGGACAGGGAGGGGGGAATAAATGGACAGGGAGGGGGGAAATACATGGACAGGCAGGGGGGAATAAATGGACAGGGAGGGGGGGAATAAATGGACAGGCAGGGTGGGGCACACACTGCATCCCGTACATACATAGAAACACACATTGCAGTCCTTACACATACAAACACAGATTCACACAATGCATTCCTTACACACATATCAGGACATCCCCTACTCCTGTGAACAAACTAATTGGTGGAACATGAAGGTGGACCCTGGGGCCCAGACCTTGAGCTGTGTAAAGGGCCTTAAAAAAATGGAGCTGCTTCCCGTTCTCCCAGAACACAAACAGCCTCCAGAGAGCCTGATCTACACCAGACGAGTGGAGCCAGACTGCAGCTAGAGCCCATCACCATCCTCATCTGATTGTAAGTAGGCAATCTAGTATATTATTCGTGGCACTAATCTCTAATTTACCTCACATTAAAGGGACACTTTAGTCCCCAGAACCACCGCAGCTTAATGTAGTGGTTCTGGTATCTATAGCCTGTCCCTGCAGGCCTTTTAATGTAAACACGGCGGCACTGCAGCACTTGCGTTAGTTAACATGGGGCATTGTGATGTCATATGGGGGGGGGGCGGCAAACTTTACTTTTGCCTAGGGCGGCAAAAATCCTTGCACCGGCCCTGTCCTAATCATTTTTCTGTTGGTTATTATTGTTTTCCATTGACATATGTCTGCGATTAAAACTGAAATTTCAAGCAAAATGTTTTAATAAAAACTTCTTGTGTGTATATATTAGCTGTATTAGTCCAGTAGACAAGATGCCAAAAACAGTCCAATAAAAAAGGAATCATTGCATACTGCAATGCTCTGGTATTTTTGCATTATATATCTATTCAATAAATCATATCCCTATCCAATAAAGACTCAGAATTTTACAAAAGAAGACCGTGAGTGCAGCTCTCTCCTAATAAATGGACAGGGGGGGAGGAATAAATGGACAGGCAGGGGAGGGGGAAATAAATGGACAGGAGGGGGAGGGGGGGAATAAAATGGACAGGAGGGAGGGAAATAAAATGGACAGGGAGGGGGGGAATAAAATGGACAGGGGACGGGGAAATAAAATGACAGGAGGGGGGGGAATAAATGACAGGGGAGGGGGGAAACTGCCATGGACAGGAGGGGTAAATAAAATGGACAGGAGGGGGAAGCGCATGTGGAAAATAAATGGACAGGAGTGGGGGGAATAAAATGGACAGGGAGGGGGGAAATACATGGACAGGAGGGAATAAATGGACAGGAGGGGGGGAATAAAATGGACAGGTATATGGGGAATAAATGGACAGGAGGGGAAAATAAAATGGACATGGGGGAATAAAATGGACAGGTTATGGGGAATAAATGGACAGGAGAGGGGAAATAAATGGACAGGTGGGGGGAATAAATGGACAGGAGGGGGGGGAACCAAATGGACAGGGGGTAATAAATGGACAGGGAGGGGGGGATAAATGGACAGGCAGGGTGGGGGAATAAATGGACAGGCAGGGTGGGGGGAATAAATTGACAAGGTGGGGGGAGAAATTGACAGGGAGGGGAATTGACGGGGTTAGGAGGGGGAATGAGAGTGGGGAGGGGAGAAGAGAGTTACAACGGGGGAGACGAGAGTGACAAGGGAGGGGGGAGAAGAGAGGGACACGCAGGGGAGAAGAGAGTGACAAGGGAGGGGGGAGAAGAGAGGGACAAGAGGGGGGAGAAGAGAGGGACAAGGGGGGGAGAAGAGAGAGACAAGGGGGGGAGAGAAGAGAGTGACGAGGGAGGGAGAGGGGGAGAAGAGAGTGACAAGGGAGGGGGGAGAGATTGACATCCATCACACACACACAATGCACCCCTTGCACACAGAAAAACACACAATGCATTACACACACAGACACACACACACACACACAAGCAATTCAACCCTTACACACAATGCATCCCTTACACACACAGAAACACACAATGCATTCCTTACACACACTCAATGCACCCCTTACACACACTCAATGCACCCCTTACAGACGCACACACTGCATCCCGTACATACATAGAAACACACATTGCAGTCCTTACACATACAAACACAGATTCACACAATGCATTCCTTACACACATATCAGGACATCCCCTACTCCTGTGAACAAACTAATTGGTGGAACATGAAGGTGGACCCTGGGGCCCAGACCTTGAGCTGTGTAAAGGGCCTTAAAAAAATGGAGCTGCTTCCCGTTCTCCCAGAACACAAACAGCCTCCAGAGAGCCTGTTCTACACCAGACGAGTGG